GCCCCTGCCAGGAGCTCTCCTTGCTGGCAACACTGGCAGAGCAGGTTTCCAAATGCTCCACCCGATAGCTTCCCTTTTGAATGTGAAGCTGGTCACGTGGGCTAGGGACAGAAGTTACACATAAACTGATTTAAGTGATCAGAAACTGGTTTAAACGTGTAACAGAACAAAAGTTCAGTGCACATAAGCCAGTTTCAAAATTGTCAAAACTAGTTTAAGATAAACCTGGTTGAAAGTAGTATCAGATTTAACAGACTGAGGTCAAACCGGTTTATGGAACTTTTGTCCACAAGACCCCTTCCTGGTTTAAGTTAAATGAGAGTCCCCCAGCATCCCAGCATGCTTTTCAACCCTGGGCTGGGCTGTGCTGCTTGCTTCAGAGAGCAGGGCTGGCCCCACCCCTCTGTTCTCTAGCTACAGCAGGGGCGGGAGCGAGGCCAGCTTGGCACTGCCCCCTAAGGCGAAGGGGTAGGGAGGGGATTTATTCCTCTCTCCTTGTCCTCTCCCCGCAGAGGACCCCAGCTGGGGTCTGCCTCACTGGGACAGAGCAGTCCCTGTCAGGGTCCCCCCTCCCCTTTCCTCTCCAGCAGCAGGGGTGGGAGTGTGGCCAGCTGCTGGCCGACATGGACTCCTAAGGTGAAGCAGGCAGGAAGGGGGTTTATTCTCCCCTCCCTCCCCTCTTTCCATGGGGCCCCAGATGGGGTTTGCCTGGCTGGGGTGCAGCAGCCCCTGTCAGGGCCCTTCCCCACTTCAGAGGCAATGGTGTGGCCCTTGGAGGCAAAGGGAGGGGGTTTAGTCCTCCCTCCCTGGGGGACCCCAGCTAGGGTTTGTCTGGCTATGGCAGCACAACCCCTTTCAGGGTCCCTCCACAATTGCTGCTCCAGCAGGGGCTGCTCTGCTCCAGTGAGGCAGACCATGGCTGGGGTCAGGGCAGGGGGAAGTGGGGAGAATAAACCCCTCCTGCCTCCAAAGCCTGGCAAGCCTGCTTGCCTGCTCCCCCTCCAGGCACACCACAGCTTGGGTCCCTGTAGGCCAGGGTGGGGGGTTAAATCCCTCCCCATTCATACTCAGGCCTGCCAGGGCCTGGCCATGCCCCCTCCTTCGCTCTGTTTTCCTACCGCCTGGCCACTGCGGAAGGGAAGGGAGGGCTTGCTCTAGTACCCCTGGCTTCTGCCCTGAGCCACTGCAAGAATGTGGCTGCATTTCTAGAATCAAAAGTGAATGTCTATTCACTTGCTTGCCAGTTCACTCTACACAGGTTAGATTAACTTGCAAAGATCAAATCAATTCAGGCTCGGGCTTTTGGAATGTCTGTACTTAGCCATGGTGTGATAGTTTTTACTGAACTGCCCACTGCTTGATGGAAGCAGCATCTGCCAGAGGCCTATTATTGTTTACAATACTTACTGCCTTTGCACTTAGTGTAAATTTACCAATATCAACAGTGAAAAGAAACACTGTTGATAACTAAATGCATTTGAAGCCAATAAACGTAAAATAAAAAAAGGCTGCAATAAGTAAAAATATGGAAAGAAAATATTGAAAAACAAAGTCATTTACTATAACTGTGAAGTCCATAGATCACATTTTTCCTTTCCCAAACTTAGGCAGATTATTGCTAAGATATTTGAAACTATCTTGATATAGATAAAAAATCTGCTATTTCACATAGGGTTTTTATTTCCCTTCAAAGAACATTTTAGCAAGGAAACTACTCATCTGCTTGTTCTTTTGTTATCACTGCTGTTGTCCCTGTCTATTGGATAGACTATTCCTTGAATGTAATAACTTCCATTTGTCACTTCTCAGAAGAAAATTCACATGCTTACCTCTTTCTACAGCTGCCAGATTCCTCTGTATTTTTGTCACTTTCAATAATGCCATCTGAATACTTATCACTGATTGAATCCAGAACAGAAAGAAGTTCACTCTGTGAACTTAAAGGCAGCAGTAACTTCAGCAGTCTGTGCAATATCCCTACTGGTACCATTGTCAGTTTGGTTAGATAACCTGCCAATTGGAGCTCCTAGAAGAATTGGTGATAAGAGGGAAGAAACTTTAGCGCTAAAATAAAAAAAATACCAATAGCTTTTAACTGAATACCTGAAAGACTGTAACAGTTGGAATAAAAAGAGTAGGAATATTTTTTATATTAAAAGCTTAGAGAACCATTATGTCCTGTGTGTTCACTCCTAGCATTGAGTAGTGTGTGCACTAGTGCTTTTAACTGAATATTGGATCCTGGAATTTTAGGATTGTAAGCAGTACATGAAAGCACAGCGCAGTCATATGAATAGCTACACAATTATTTTTTCATTTAGAAGCTAGCTTGTATTTGCAGGAAACAAGTAAAGCAAATGTGCTCTAGAACTGAAGATTTCACAGTGAATAAAATTAAGTATCTACCCCTGATTCCTGCAAAGGAAACCAACAAAAAAAGAAAAAAAGGAATGGATCATAAAAGACATGTATATTCCTTGCTCTGCAGATACCATGAAACAATGGCTAAGAGAAATGTGAATGAATGCTGTTTTTAAACAGATGCAATTCAGAAATCTAATTAAGACAACTTAAAATCAACATTCACAAGTAATTTACTGTTCATCAGTTCAGTGGAAAATCCAGCTGTTGGGCTATTTAGTATACAGACGAATATTTGGATGGGCAGCAATAGCAGCATGTAGTTGCTGCCAATGTTTACTGGTGGTGAGAACAAAGGATACCTCCATCTCATTCAGATACCGTGTCATCTCCATTCCTGCCCATAGGGCAAGAGAAAAGTAGATTTATCTCCACCCCAATACCAAAGACTCAAAGGCTTCCTGGGTATCTAAACAAAACCCGCTGCCTACTTTTTCCCAGGAGCCAAAACACAGCTGTCAAAACTCACATGCCACCTGGCAATCTCTGAACTGTATAGCAATACAAAAATCTGTAACACATCAACATCAATGATGCTATACTGATTGTACTGTATGAGAGAAAGCAGTGAGCTAGAGGAGGCAATGCCAAAGGTCCTATATCTTTGCTGAAAACATTTTAAGTATAATGTGCCACAAACAACACAGGCTTTTCAGCTCCTCTGTCTGCTCCCAGAAGATACTGCAGTGGTTACATTGGAATAGTTCTATTCAGTTCCAGCTGCTCTAAACAGTAGCGTATACACTGAAGTGAGACTCCCATGGGTCCTCTGGAAGACTTAGTCAAGTCCGCACTGTTTACCAGCCTGTGGACGCGTTTACACATTCCTATGGTGATGTTGTTACTGAGCTGTGATTTAGTACTTCCTTCTGGCACGGTGAAGTAACCGCCTGTACTGCACCCTGCACACGGTGCACAGGTAGTTTTTGCTGCTACTTCACCATAGCAGTGTGCTAAAATAGTGACTGTGTGCTGCTACAGTCATGTAGCTGCTGATCATGTGCAGACTCACATGATTGCTACATCATGTAGGGCTACGTGTACATGCACCCTGTGTCTACCAGATGTGGGGGATTAGTATCAAGCGCAAGTCACAAGCACAACCAGATGTTCTGAAACAAGAAAACAGAGAGTGGAAAAACATCATTTTCTCTGTCTACAATGGATTCCAAATGTCAAAGCAGCTGTTAAAAGTGTGCATGCAGAATTTATATAGCTGTATGGAACAGACTTGCAGAAGAGATCAGGGAAATCCAGACTCCAAATGCCTAGGTAACACTGCAAAACTTTCCTCTTTGAGAAAGCTACTCTACCATGAAAACAAACTGTACATTCACCACCATCTACCATCTCACTTACTGAAAATACTCCAATCCCCAAAATCAACAAGCAAACAAAATAAAACAAAAACATCAATGAACCAAACGAAACTATAGCCACATCCCAAGCAGAGATTTTACACTGAAGACAGAGAGAAGCCACTGACTTCACAAAGTCCATGGGGGACTTCACTACTGCTATAGACTTGACATTGGAGATGCTCAGAAACTATAATAGGAAGCAGCAAGTGTGAAACCTTATAATAGATAGGAGCTATAGGGATATTTGTATGAAGTTTTTGGACACTGACTGTCACAGAATCTTATGAGAGGCAATTAAAAAAGAAATCAAGTTCTTGACAGCGTATAAGGCACCTTTCCCTCTTTCTGAAAGTCTGGATACCTCAGGTAAGACATTTAATTTAATAATTTATACAAGGATGACAAAAATATCCTGACATTTTCTAAAACTGTTCTCTTAAGCATGTAGCTTTTCTTACTCTCTGTTTCTTAGATTCCACACAGAATGTCAGTTGGATAATGAAGAAACATCCAAAGCCATTCTAATTCAGAGCTGCTTATAGCACTGTAATTTCTGCAAAATATGAATTCTGTCAAATGCAAGAGAAGTAACATAAACCACCCACTGACCCAGTACAAATGAGTAGATTAATGTAGGTGAAGTGATTATGACTGTCTACAATTTGGCTATGAGCAGCACCCTTCACATAAACACCCAGCACCCCTGTTTCAGTTTAAAGCAAAAATGATGTGTGTGTGATGGGGAAATGGTGCGAGTAGCTAGTATTGCCAGGTCAGGGAGCATACAGGATGAGATTGGAGGACTATACCCATTTGCAGTTAGGTGCTCAGACACCATGATGGAGACTACGTTACAGGTATGGACAGGAGTTCATTTGTAGTGCTACAAAAGGTGTCAGTACTTTGCAGCACTACAGAAATTTAGCACTATGCATCATATAGTTGTTCAAGACCTCTGGCTGGAGAGACACAAAGCAGCTGCAAAGGTGAGTGACTCCAGCCAGGGGCAATAGGGGTCTTCTTTGTTCCCCCCATCCCACAAAACACAGGCTTCCTCTCAGCTGTGGCTACATCAAGTTGGCATCAGCCCCTCTGGTGGCAACTGCTGATTGGTCCCCCCGCCCAATCAGTGGTCACTACTCTTGGCAGCCCCATCAATTGCTGTTATGGAGTGGCATGGTGTAGCCGGGTGGGCTATAAGGGAGCAGTCACTCTCTCGCCTTTGGAAAGGGGCCAGACTGTGGAATACTACAGGTCCTATGTGTAACTAGTGCTGATGGGAAGCTGCTCTTTGAAAGTGTTAATATTCTGTAGCACATTTACCATCTTTGTGGTGCTGAATGCTTGCTTTTGTAGGACTCCAAAGGTATATTTAGCACTACAAATATAACACCTGTCCATGGCTAGATTTCACCGTAGGTCATAGTGGCACATATTCCAGAGTGTGATGATTTGAAAGAGGTTAAATTGGAGAAGCCAATTTATGCTCCATATTTCATGCTCTCACTGGTAGGATCTTTTCTTCTGATTTTCTGATTCTACTGTATATCCTGACATTTATCTGTATGCAGCTGTAACCTGCAATAACCCTTGATAATCTTTGCCCCCTAGGAGGGATAGATAACGTACAGAGATTTATGAGTCTACTCCTGCCTTTCAGACAGCGACCTGAAATGAGATTTATACTTTGTAATTCATTACAATTAGGTGACTGGACCCAGGAGGGTAATTTTAAAAAATGAGGTAGGTGACTAATTTCTCTTTATAGACAACAAAAGATTAGAGGTGATTCACAGATTTTGTGAATCACCTCTAAAGGCTAATCCACAAAAACCCACATGCTTAGCAGGAAACATCTAGTCCTAGACAATAAGAAGTGCTGAGATCCCAGTACTTTCTGCAGCTTATCCACCTGACTCAGGGATGTCCCTCTGCAGACTCAGGCAGAGCTTAGCTGGATCACAACACATTTGGTGGTAATTAGACACCTAGCTACTCAGCCTAGGGCACTTCTTCACAGTTCAGAAGTCATGGTTTAGATTCCTTAGGAACTCTCTGAACCAAAATATGGTCACTGAATAAGAAATATAAAACCTGCCAACACATTTTCACCACCTCCACAATAACCACACCCCACAACAGAACCATCAACATTACTGAATCTTATACCTGCACCTCCAGAAATGCCATATAACTCATCCAGTGCACTAAATGCCTGGATGGAAAATATGTATGAGATACCAAACATCAACTACATACCAGAACAAACACACACTGAAAATCTATCAAAGACAAAAATACCCAGTTACCTGTAGGGGCACATTTCTCACAAGACAACCAATCTCTCAGTTTTAGTCCTCAAAGGGAATTTACAAAATACCTTTCGCAGCCCAGCCTACAAACTTCACTTCATCAACCTACTGGAGACAAAAAATCATGGACTAAATATAGACACTGGCTTTATGGCACACTATAAGCTGCCTAACATCTGATTCCCCAGACTACCTCTCTACTATTTACCAGCTGCATCTTATCATTACCAGGTCTACCCCCTACCCACCTGTTTCTTAACCACTGACTGCCTCAATTTGCGTTTTCACTGACTGGTATTCTTGCATACAGGCCTCTGGCTTCTATTCTATTCTATCTCATCTAGGAAGAGCTCAGAACATCTGCAGACACTTCCTCAGCCTGAAGGGTGTTTGTACCTGAAAGCTTAGAAAGAAGATTTTTTTCCAACTATTTCAGTTGGTCTAATAAAAGATACCGGATTTACCCAAAGAACTTTGGATGCCTAATAGGTTCTTCAGTTGTGGGAGTACAAGACTTCTAGGTTGCTTCTAGGGACTTAGGCTCATAAATTCTGCCTCAGACCCATTTTAGGTACCTGAAATGCTGTACTGCATCTCACACTGTCTCATCAGGCAGACCTAGTTCATGCTGTTAGCCATTCAGGAGCTATGCACTGCTAAAAGGTTGGGGTAGGGTACTTACTCCTTAAGGCCTGGTGTTGCCCTTCCAAACTGGGAAGAATTCATTTAGGGGCTCTACTCCACCGAGTAAAACAAATTCCTCTGTCTGATAACATGTGGGAACACCAGTTATTTCTTGTGTTGCTGTATCTGAGTTTGTGTTTTTTGAATTTAGCCAAAGCAAAAACATTCATATACGAACAGTAATTTAAATCAGCATCAGCAGAACTACTGCAAGGAAGTCAAAATGACTGAGACTGAGTAATACCTAT